GGGGAGAGAGAGAGAGAGAGAGAGAGAGAGAGAGTCATACACACACCCTGCATGGCCTCACACGCCCACTCCTCTGAGGTCATCAAGGGCACAGCAACCCCAGTGGCCACTCCGTTCCTTCTAACCATCTCAGGCAGGAAGTGGGAACAACCGTGTTGCTCCCTAGTAATCTTGTTACTTGGTCATTAGACTGGCAGTTGGTAGTTAATTCGTTCCTGGGTAGTAGTTAGTTTGGTCGCAGATAGTGTGCTTCTTTCTGTTTCAGTTAGCTTGTCAACAGTAGGGTTAAAAAAGCAGCAGCTTATGGAGAAGCAGAGGCATCATTCCTCTGATCACTGCCAGCAGCAGCGGTGAAGTAAGGGTGGCATAGTATTCCTAGCCTTACTTGTGTGCTGCTGCTGGTGCCGCGCAGCACTGTCTTCAGAGCTGGGTACCAGGCCAGGAACCACCCCTCCCCGGCCACCCAGCTCTGACTGCAGCAGAGAAGGATGGCAATACTACAAACCTACCCCCTCCCAATAGCCTTGCAACCCCCTTTTGGGTCAAGACCCCCAGTTTGAGAAATGCTGACAAAAGGGCATTCCACATGTATATTTCACCATTTTTAAATACATATTCATTGTTTGTTACAACACTGTGAAATTTAAGATTCAAATATCTGAAACCATGAAATTCAAGATTTTAAAAATGCTATGACAGTGAAATTTACCAAAATGGACCGTGAATTTGGTAGGGCCCTACCTATAGTAGAGAGCAGCATATCTGTAGTCCGTGCTCCTGCATCAGCTGGCTGAACTGTATTGATGATACTTTCAGTTGTGGCCCCTGGCCACACTATCGCTCAGCCTCAATGCTTCTCTGTCTAACTCTCCCACAGAACCTGACTCAGCTCCCTGCCGTAACATGCACTGGGAAATGATGAAAGCCCTGGGGAATCATGGGAGAAGTCACACCTTAACAGCCCTTTGGGAAAAATCACTGAAGGAGCCATGGTGCATGCCCTAACGCCAAGCTGCTGCCAAATGCCTGGCTGAACTAGGACAGCAGGGGGGATGGGTTAGACTGCCCCCAGGCTGGAGTGACTTAGGATGACAGGAGGGGGAGCAGGAGAAGGGAGGGGAGATGGGCTAGGCTGCCATGCTTTGGAGTGAACTAGGGTAGCAGGGGATGGGGGATGAGCTAAGCCACCACGCATTGGGGCAAATAAGGATGGGGGGGGGGGATGGGCTAAGCTGCCGTGTGCAGGGGTGAACTGGGACTTTAACACACACCAGCACATGCCCTGGTTAAGCTGCACATTTCACAGAGCAGTTTAGACAAGAGTTCAGAACATGATTAGTGCTCTTTTCCCTCTCCCCACGTGCAGGGCAGAATGGCCTTAGATACCGTAAGGCACAGTCACTACAGAAACCAATGGTACCCAAGATCCAGAGTGAGGAGAGCACCCATAGATCCAGAGACTCCAAGGCCAGAAGGGACCACTGTGCTCATCTAGTCTGATCTCCTGTGTAACCCAGGCCAGAGCCCTGCTCCACAATAATTCCTAGAGCAGAGCTTTTAGAAAACCATCTAGCCTAGATTGTAAAATTGTCAGTGATGGAGAATCCACCACAACTCTTGATACATTGTTCCAATTATTAGTTAGCCTCACTGTTAAAGTTTACACCTTATTTCCAGTCTGAATTTCTCCAGCTTCAGCTTCCAGCCACTGGCTCATGTTAGACCTTCTTCTGCTAGATTGAGGAATCCATTATCCAATATTTGCTTTTCAGCTGGTACTTACACACTGAAATCAAGTCTGAATGGACCAAGCTATGAGTCTCATTATAAGGCAGGTTTTCCAATCCTTTAATCATTCTTAGGACTCTTCTCTGACTCCTCTCCAATTTATCAACATCCTTCTTGAATTGTGGACACCAGAACTGGACACAGTATTCCCACAGCGGTCACACCAGTGCCAAAAACAGAGATAAAATAACCTCTCTGCTCCTACTGGAGATTCATCCATTTATGCATCCAAGAATCACATTAGCCCTTCTAGCCGCAGCATCGCACTTGGAACTCATGTTCAGATGATTATCCACCATGACCCCCATAACTTTTGCAATATCACTGCTTCCCTGAATAGTCCCGTCCTGTAAGTTTGACCTCCCCCTGCTTTGCAGGGAGTGCAGCACTTGTATCCAGCACTGGTCACGCCAGAGCACACCAAGAAACTCCCCCTTCTGACCTACATTCTTGGCTCCCAGCTGTATACATTTACACTTAGCTGTGTCAGAACACAGTGTTTGCTTGCACCCAGTTTGCCGAGCCATCCAGTTGGCTCTGTCAGTGACGTGTTGTGACAAAATGGGAATTGTCCATAACATTGTATGGATGATGTGCCTGCCAGGGACTTACCTGACTAGGGCTTGCCAACTAGTGGGTGCAGAAGGGTTAAAATGCTCCTGGGGCAAAGCAGAAGGCATGAAGTTTTTGGATTACCTGTCTGGGGTGGGATGAATTGGCCGTTAAAGACAGGATGAAAGCGACCCATCTCAATTGAGGGTCCAAAAGACAAATGGGAATGTCACTGGCCAGGCCATTCACACCTAGCAACCACCAACCAGAAGCAAGATTCCCCCGGCCACACCCACCTCTCTGCTGGGAAGCAGAGAGTTGGAGAACAATGGGGAAAAGTGGCAGGTAGCTATGTTAAGAGCTGGCCTTTGGAGAGACAAAGAGCTCGCACCTGGACTGACTTCAATGTCTGAGGCTTTTTTCTGCAGCCATATTAGGAGAGCAGCAGCCATGAGCCAAGAAGCAGAAAGTCACATCCTCACATTCCATCTAAATTACATTAAAACAATGAAATATCAGGCTATTAAGAAGGCCATCTTGTCCTAATAGCACCCACCATCACCAGATAAAGAAACATCTTCAGATCCTTAAAGAAAACTGTGTTTGATAGTTGCGATTATGAAATCTATACTTCTACTGTTTGGCCTTTATGGTCCCTACTTCTCTATTGTTGATCTGTAAGGTTTCTGTCTGGTTCTTTGATTTTTTTCTGTCTGTTGCATAATTAATTTTACAAGATTTAAATCAACTAAGGTGGTGGGGTCTGGTTGGTTACAGAATTATTTCACAATATGTTAGGATTGGTCAAAGAATTATCTTGTAATATTGTAGTAAAATGATTGGTTAAGGGACAGCTAAGCAGGACTCAAATTTCACAATATAAACTGGGGTCCAAAAGGAAGTTCTTGGGAACCAACTTCAGGATGCAGCCCCAGATCAGAGCTGCCAGACCTCAACATCCTGCCAGCCATATCATGCAGAAGCTGGAGTCCCCAGATGACCTGATCCTGACTGGCCACCAGGAAAAGTTCATTTGCCTTATTAGGAGCATTGATTATTACACCCTGAGCCCTAGGAATGGGGTATGGATGGGTGCCTCAATTAAGAGGGTTATGCCTTGAGCCCTAGGAACAGGATAAATGTGGGTGCCCTAGACAAACAAGAGGGAAAGAAAAAAAAAGGACAGAGCCAACATGCATTCTACGGGCAGCTTGACTGGGTAGAGCCCTGGCTTTCAGCAGTATGGACTGTCTGAACCTTGGTTTCCCTCTACTAGCATCAGGACTTTCATATTCTGTAGGCCAGATGACTACTAAAGCATTACCTTGTTTTTGAAAAAGTTGTCTGGTGTCACTGCAAATACCTACAGAGAGCACTGCTCCCTGAGGGGTACCATACAGACCTCCCACAGGAGTCTGGCTCGGCTGGATTTGCTGCAGGGAGCCATGGAAAGAGAC